TTTTTTTGAGACGGAGTCTCGCTCTGTCATCCAGGCTGGAGTGCAGTGGCGCGATCTCGGCTCATTGCAACCTCTGCCCTCCCAGGTTCAACCGATTCTCCTGCCTCAGCCTCCTGAGTAGCTGGGATGACAGGTGCCTGCAACCACATCTGGCTAATTTCCTGTTTTCTTTTTCTTTTCTTTTCTTTTTTTTTTTTGAGATGGAGTCTCGCTCTGTCATCCAGGCTGGAGTGCAGTGGCGTGATCTCGGGTCACTGCAACCTCCGCCTTTCAGGTTCAAGCCATTCTCCTGCCTCAGCCTCCTGAGTGGCTGGGATTACAGGCGTGTGAAAATTTATTTTTTTAATTGACAAAATTGTATATATTTGTGGTGTCTAACCCTGTTTTGAAATATGTATGCCTTGTGGAATGGCTAAATCAAGCTAATTAACATATACGTGACCTCATCTGCTTTCTTTTTTTATTTTTATTTTTTTGAGGTGGAGTCTCTCTCTCTGTCATCCAGGCTGGAGTGCAGTGGCGCGATCTCGGCTCACTGCAACCTCTGCCTCCCGGGTTCAACCGATTCTCCTGCCTCAGCCTCCCGAGTAGCTGGGATGACAGGCGAGTGTCCCCACGCCCGGCTAATTTTTGTATTTTTAGTAGAGACGGGGTTTCACCATGTGGACCAGGCTGGTCTTGAACTCCTGACCTCAGGCGATCCACCTGCCTCAGACTCCCAAAGTGCTGGGATGACAGGCGTGAGCCACTGCACCCAGCCGGTAGAGGTTTTTTCAAAATGGAAAGGCTGACACACACACAGATGCGTACACACACAGAAATGCACATACATGCACACGTACACACTCATGCAAACACCTTTGTACACATACATTCACACATGCATGCACATAAATATGCACTTTCAGGCACATGCAGGCACGCACACAGGCAGACCCTCATGCGTGTATACTGGTGTATGCACATGTGTGTATGCATGGAACGCACGCACAGATACATATGCATGAAAACACACAAACACAGCCGGGCATAGTGGCTCACACCTGTAATTCCAGCACTTTGGGAGGCCAAGGCAGGCGGATCACCTGAGGTCACGAGTTCAAGACCAGCCTGGCCAACATGGCGAAACCCTGTCTCTACTAAAAAATACAAAATGTAGGCTGGGTGCAGTGACTCACGCCTGTCATCCCAGCACTTTGGGAGGCTGAGACGGGCGGATCACCTGAGGTCAGGAGCTCGAGACCAGCCTGGCCAACATGGTGAAACCCCGTCTCTACTAAAAATACAAAATTAGCCGGGCGTGGTGGTGCCTGCCTGTAATCCCAACTACTTGGGAGGCTGAGACAGGAGAATCGCTTGAATCAAGGAGGCAGAGGTTGCGGTGAGCCGAGATCGCGTCACTGCACTCCAGCCTGGGCGACAGAGCGAAACTCTGTCTCAAAAACAAACAAACAAACAAACAAAAATTAGCCGGGCGTGGTGGCAGGTGCTTCTCATCCCAGCTACTCAGGAGGCTGAGGCAGGAGAATCGCTTGAACCCGGGAGGCGGAGGTTGCAACGAGCCGAGATCACACCACTGCACTCCAGCCTGGATGACAGAGCGAGAATCTGTCACACACAGAAAAGAAAACACACAGACACGTATGTGTGCACCCAGATACACGCGGGCACACAAATGTACACAGGTGGGCAGGCACACAGCCACGTATGCTTATAGACACGTGTGCACAGGCATGCACGCGGTCATGTGCAAACGTGCAGACATAGCTACGCACAGGCATGCACACGTATACACCCACGTACACACACACACGGATATTCGTGCACACAATGCACACACGTACAAGCACACTGCAACCTACAACCTACATGCGTGTGCAAAGGTGCCTGTGCGCGCGCGCACACACACACACACGTGCACACTCAGTAGTTTTCCCTCCAGAAGCAGCTCCTGGGTTACCTGCAACCCAGTTTCACAGCCAGTCCCCGCTGCCTGACTCTCCGTTCTCCCCCAGCAGGCACCTCCGTCCTTCCCGATGACCCTCCTTTGGCTGACGCTGCTCCTGGTCGCCACGCCCTGTCTCCTGCAAACCAAGGAGGGTAAGAGCTGGAGAAAAAAAAACCAACCGGGAAGGGGGGGGGGGACAAACGCACAATGTCACCTGCTGTTCTTCGGGGAGACTTTCCATGTTGAGCGCATGGCAGAGTCTCGTGCGGCGGTCAGGAATGACTCAGAGACCTCCTTGTACCCGTCGCCAAGTTCCCTGTAACGCAGCGTCTGGCACAACTGCAATACGATGTCACAGGCAGGCACCTGATGGTGACACAGACGCCATGTGAGGTCTTTGGATGAAAGTCGCACGCTGGGATCTGGAGTGCCAGTTTACCATTGTCAGTTTCCCGCGTGGTTTATCTTCTGTTTTCATTTTCTTTCTTTT